AAAAAAAATAATAATAAAGAAAGCCTGTATTGCAATGACTTTTGTCACTCTGCGCTATTGTGCCTTATCTGTGTTCTACATTATATTTTATTGAGCCCTTTTTGGCCACTTCAGATATTTAATGCATAGCTATTATAATATATCTGTTGTAATTTCTGCTACCGCTGCAGTTTCTGCTGTCACAAGATTTCTCTTGAAAATCACATTTTAAATTTCAATGAGACATTTCTAAAATTATTAATTAATTTATTCATCTATCCCTTTTCTTAACCTCTTATTCTGAGGGGACAGAAGGTTCTCATGGCATAGCTGTCATAGGGTGATAAGCAAGATACTCCCTGCACAGGTCACTAATGCATCACAGGGCCACTAATGACATGTTTAGTAGAAAGAAAACTCCAAATTTACAGTAGGTCTGCTTCCCTGTCTGTATTTAAGCCATTCATAAAAACAATCCTTTCTACCCTCTACCCTCAGTGCACAAGAAACTTTATTTTGTTAGTTACTGATTTCTTTTGAGTATGTTCATTTGGGAGAAGCAAGGATGTAAGAGCCACTGCTTCTATTTCACCAGGCAGAATATGAGTGGACCATTTCAGTTACTCCCACTGATGCAGCTAAAACCCTGTTGGCTGTCAAATATGCTTATCTGTGCTACACTGTGCTTACATGCATAGAGCACAATGTGGCTTTGATGGAAGAGACTTCTCAGGCTCCAGCCCTAATTTTAACAGTTCTAATACTGCTTACTGTGTAGTGTGCAAAAGCATTGATCTAGCCCTGTCTTATTTTTATTTTTTTTCCCAAGAGACAGACTATATTGTTTTGAAGGCTCTCCAGATTGTCTAAAGGGCTTTCAAAGTTTTCACATAATGGAACACTATCAACCATGGATTGGCTGAGTACAGAACAAAAGGCAGCAAACAGGTAAAGAAGAGCTTTGACATCTTTCAAGAATCCTGGAAAACTATTTCTGAAGAATAAGAAATGAAATAGGGTTGACTAAAGATTTTTGCACATTACTGTATATTCAGCTGAATGTGTGCTCACATATGCTCTATGTGGCAGTACAGGCCTACACTAGTGATGGGTCGGTCGTGAACGAAATGCCTCTTAGAGCCGGATGTTTGACGTGAACGACGCGAGCCGGCTCCTTATCGCTAGTGGTGGGTTTTTTATTTCTTTCTCTCACCCTCTCTCTCTCTCTCTCGCACTTTTTTCTGCTTCACTCCGCA